CAGAGTCTATGCAGTTGTCAAGCTCTAACTACAAATTCAATAAAACAGTTTGGAGCAACCTGCTCAATAGGACTAACAGATGGAATATTCGAACGTAAATTTATGTACATTTTTAGACCTAACCAGTCCTGAGCATATTTACTCATTAATCGAGATCCTTATATTTGTGAACAACATATACCTCTCTTTCAAACCAGTCAGCAACTTTATGTACTGGATATGCAGAGTCTAGAGCAGTTAGTTCATCTGAATAAGTTTTTATACGTATTCTTGAATTAAAACGTAAGGACAGGAAATTATATACAACCTAGAAAAGACAATGAACTGCTATTATATAGTAACTCATATTTTTTTAAAAATAAAGATATATACAAATTTGCAACATTTGTTTGTAATATCTGCTCAGTGGTCAAAAATGCTGGACAAGGTTGTACCTTAACAATTTACTAAACTACATAATTTATAGTTTGACCAATTGATTTGGTTACTGGTTCCATTTTAATTGAAATTGTCAACCCATTGTATTTTCTAACTACGTCATTGACAAAAACTTGAACTACAGACTACTCCCCATGGAGGAAATTCTTGTCAACCGCAGGGGGGGCGGAGAAAAATTGGTTTCTGATAATAGTAAGTGTATTAGGATATCTAAAGAGGGTAGGGGGTTTATCTTACAATTTCCTGCACAGGGGAGGTTTTGAATGACCCAAAGGAAAATTACCTCAAATCTATTTTGTCTGCTTGGGACATCAACAGCAGTTATATCTGCTAAGGACTTGAACTGAGCATTTGTATGATCTCGTAAGAACGTCAACACAGGCAGAATTCCTTCAGGAGCAATTAATATCTCCAATTCGTTGTTGTGGTTGACTTGTGTTTGCTGGACATACTTTGGTAACAAGTTGCCAATATGCTCTCCATATTCTGAAAGTCTTGCATGAACTGGGTCATCTAAGGATAACAGCGGGTTTTCATTGGGGGCGTCCATATAGTACGTATGTACTCAGTTGTGACAATGTTGTTCCAACAACTTGTCAACAAGATGTCTCCTCAACAGGCTTGTAAGCAAGCATGTTAACAAGTTGTGACAATGCTGTTCCAACAACCTGTCACCAAGATGTCTCCTCAACAGGCTTGTAGCAAGCTTGTTATAAAAGTTGTGACAATGCGGTTCCAACAACCTGTCAATAACATGTGTTTTCAATAAGTTTACACCAAGCTTGTTAACAAGTGGTGACAATGCTGTTCCAACAACTTGTCAACAAGATTTGTTTGCAACAGGCTTGTAGCAAGCATGTTAACAAGTTGTGACAATGCTGTTCCAACAACTTGTCAACAAGATGTCTCTGCAACAGGCTTGTACACACGTAAAAATCTCACATCTTGTAACAAGTCTGCCAACAAGCCGTCAACAAGATGTATTCGCACTGCTTGTAACAAGTTGTCAACAGGTTTCGAAATTACCAGACTTGTTGCAAGATTGTTCTGACAAGTCTGTTACATGCTTGATATAACAAGATTGTTACAACATTGTGTTGACAACCTTGTAACATCCTTGTTATATCCAGGCTGTAACAAACTTGTTAGCACAGTCTTGTAACAAGACTGATAACGCCATCAAGCTTGTTACAAGTTGTTAACAGCTTGTTTCAAACTTGTTACAACAAACTGGGAACAAGCAATGCGAACACAACTTGTTGACAGCTTGTGAACAGATTTGTAACAGCTTGTTTGCAGACTTGTTACAACTTGTGCATTTTTACGAGTGTAGCAAGCTTGTTAACAAGTTGTGACAACACTGTTCCAACAACTTGTCAAGAAAATGTGTTTCCAATAGGCTTGTAGCAAGCTTGTTAACAAGTTGTGACAATGCTGTTCCAACAACTTGTCAACAAGATGTCTCCTCAACAGGCTTGTAGCAAGCTTGTTAACAAGTTGGGACAATGCTGTTCCAACAACTTGTCAACAAGATGTGTTTGAATAGGTTTGTAGCAAGCTTGTTAACAAGTTGTGACAATGCTGTTGCAACAACTTGTTAACAAGATGTGTTTGCAATAGGTTTGCAGCAAGCTTGTTAACAAGTTGTGAGAATGCTGTTCCAACAACTTGTCAACAAGATGTCTCCTCAACAGGCTTGTAGCAAGCTTGTTAACAAGTTGTGTGAATGCTGTTCCAACAACTTGTCAACAAGATTTGTTTGCAACAGGCTTGTAGCAAGCATGTTAACAAGTTGTGACAATGCTGTTCCAACAACTTGTCAACAAGATGTCTCTGCAACAGGCTTGTACACACGTAAAAATCTCACATCTTGTAACAAGTCTGCCAACAAGCCGTCAACAAGATGTATTCGCACTGCTTGTAACAAGTTGTCAACAGGTTTCGAAATTACCAGACTTGTTGCAAGATTGTTCTGACAAGTCTGTTACATGCTTGATATAACAAGATTGTTACAACCTTGTGTTGACAACCTTGTTATATCCTGGCTGTAACAAACTTGTTAGCACAGTCTTGTAACAAGACCGATAATGCCATCAAGCTTGTTACAAGTTGTTAACAGCTTGTTTCAAACTTGTTACAACAAACTGGGGACAAGCAATGTGAACACAACTTATTGACAGCTTGTGAACAGATTTGTAACAACTTGTTTGCAGACTTGTTACAACTTGTGCGTTTTTACGTAGCAAGCTTGTTAACAAGTTGTGACAACGCTGTTCCAACAACTTGTCAACAAGATGTGTTTCCAATAAGCTTGTAGCAAGCTTGTTAACAAGTTGTGACAATGCTGTTCCAACAACTTCTTAACTAGATGTGTTTGCAATAGGTTTGTAGCAAGCTTGTTAACAAGTTGTGACAATGCTGTTCCAACAACTTGTTAACAAGATGTGTTTGCAATAGGTTTGCACCAAGCTTGTTAACAAGTTGTGACAATGCTGTTGCAACAACTTGTTAACAAGATGTGTTTGCAATAGGTTTGTAGCAAGCTTGTTAACAAGTTGTGACAATGCTGTTCCAACAACTTGTCAACAAGATGTCTCCTCAACAGGCTTGTAGC